AGAAAAGGTATGAAATGATATTAAATAGAACTCGATTGGTTCAAAGGTTTGGGATTTGTATAGCTACGTGGTTAGCTTGAAAGTGGAAAAAGGGTTTGATATACTTTCTTGTGTATTCATATATTTGTAATATATGTGAATAATTGTTTTATAAAGATTTTGGTGATCCTTCACCCTSCAATTACATGATTAGGGTAACTCACTAGACTCTTTAGTCTAACCCTCGTTTTTGTGATTTTAAAATGTGTATTGCAGGAAGTATAGAAGGTAAAGGAGGAAAAGATTTAATGCTTTTCTTATATGCATTCGGCTGCAGAATTGCTTTTGATGATTAGTATTGTTGTTTAGTACAAGACATGTATTTTGAATTTTTGGACCTTGTATTTGGTCATGATRGTAGATTCTTGTACTAAGGGACCTAGATGTATATGAATATGTATTTCTTTGGTATGAAATATGTGTTACATGCAATGTGTGGGTTGGGGCATTACACTAGGAGATAAAACTTATGTTTAATGTGTGTGTGTGTATATATATATATAGGGGTAAGATCAAATGTTAACCAAAGTTTTTGTGTTAACTTTGTTAACCGATCTTGGCCATTCAATCTTTCAATAAACGGTTGTAATTAATCATGATAAAACTTATTTTTTTAAATTTAAAATTGCATAAAGATAAGTGAACAATGTTGAAAAAGGTATTTAGGTAAAAAAATGTATGAAACTCCCATATCATTAATTAATTGGGAGTTACAAAATCAAAAATTCTATGATTTTTTTGTTAATGTAAGAACCATATAAACACAACTATATATATATATATATATATATATGAATCATTGTGTCAAATACGAACAAAAATTTGATATATATATATATATATATATATATATATGAACTTGGACTGCATAGCATTTATGAACACAATATGAACATAATAAGAATAACTGCTATACGAAAGGAAATAAATTAAAAAAACAGGTTTGAACACGATATGAACAGCTTGTGAACAATAGTTCCTTCATTATAAACGCATTCAAGAGCGATACTTTGTCAATTGGAGTTTTATACATGCATTGCATCCACACCGTTTAAGGTTCACCCCTTGTTCATATATGTTTTTGATCTTATATGGTTGTTCACCCCTTGTTCATATCGTGTTTACCTCTTGTTCATATCGTATAAAATATATGAACACATAACCCCAACGCTATGAACACCGGGTGCAAACACTTACACAAATATAAAGATTTGGTATTAAACTTAAAAATAACATTTGTGTTCATATGATAAAAGTAACATGAACACAATGGTTCATGATTCATAAAAGTTGGTAATATGGCAATATGAAAATGGGTCGTGCATGTACTTCCATTTGAACATGTGAATTAGGTACATATTTTAATAATTAAAGAAAAAAGCTATCAATACAGGATGAGTTATAAAAAACACAACACATCGTAATGAACACAATTTCGATTAAAACGAATCTAAAAAAATAAAAATCTATTACCAAGACATTCGCTTTTGTTAATTTCTTCAATTCCCGACCTCGAACTCTGATTGTCATTATAAACCATTTTAATCTTATAATTGTTGTCGATTTATTTTCCATTGCGTTTATCCATATTAGCTTGATCGATACCGAAAATTTTTACTGCC